ACTCGATGGCACCTAACAACAACGTTTGTATTGTAAGTTTTTCAAAGAATTTCCAATTCATCCCAGTTGCAAAATTTGTATGCATAAAATTTTTTTTAAATACTCCTTTTTTAAATGGCTGTAGGATTTGGAGTCTTGTTTCACTTCTCATTCTTGACATGGTGATGGGTATTTTTCCGTCTGGCAAGAGGTTTATCAATCTTGCTGCTCTTCTTAAGAACAAAAGAAAATCAACCGTAGCATGCAAACACTTTCGGTTTCACTGACTTGTCTCTACTTTCCTGTTTAAATTTCATTGATTTGCTTTGTTCTGAGTTTTCTTATTTTCTTCCACTTGCTTTTGGCTTTAGTTCACTGTTTTATTTCTAATTCTTAAAGTGGGTGCTTTCCTAACCTAAATGTTCAGGATTCGCAGTTTCTCTGTAAGGAATGAAATGACGAGATTACAGAGGTGTCACAGCCTTCCGGCTAAATCTGTAAATTCAATAGAAGTTTGGATTCTCGGATTTACTATGCACTTCCTCTGAGGACTGGGTGCCTAACATCCCATACATTCTAATAGGTCATAGTTCTCATTTGATTCGGTTTAAAATGTTTTCAGGTTTCCTTTGTGTTTCTCCCTTGTCTCCCAGGTTACTTAGGAATGTGTGGTTTTCTCAAATTGCTAGGTATTTTTTTGTTTGTTGTGTTTTTTAGGGCTTGGTTACTGATTTTACGGATTTCATTTTGCTCTGTTGTGTGGACTTGCAGGTGGTCTCTGGTGAAGGCTTCTGTCCCCTGAGAAGCAGAGGCATCCTGTCATCGGTGGATGGGCCGTGAAGGCTTGAGCTGCACTTGGCTGACTAGAGTTTTAGTCTCAGTTTCCCAGACAGAGTACTAATGTCCGACTGTAACTGTAGATTTCAGTTCCCTCGCAGGCCTGACGTTACTTGTAGTCACTAAACTGTCCCCTTTGTCATCATGGGTGACAGTTTGTGTTCTGTGATCTACTTTAATGGTGAAATAGACACTCAAAAGCTTTTTTTGGTTAAATCCGTGTTTGCGCATTATGCTTTTCATCTGTGGTCCTGGGTACACCTAATGCATCTTGCTTGTTGCCTTGCTCTTACCAACCTCACTGTCTCAGCCTTCCTTTCGGGCGCTTATTAAATCCTTATTAGCATTTTCTTTCCATTTCAGTAAATTGCCTGTTGGCGCCATTTGCCCTTTTTTTAATGAGGGTTTCTGCTTTTTTATGTTGATAAAAGCAGTTCTCTGTATCCAGTATCTTGTCAGTTTAGAAGTGAGTGCTGTATTCACAGCGGCAGAGGTGGGTGCTTAACCCTTTCGGTGCTCCTTCCCTAACAGTCCCTGATGTGTGATCAGTTACCTTCCACTGGTGTTGGATGGTTGCCTGCCTGTGGGTGGGTCACCGTAGCAGTCCTCAGTGTTTGCCCGTGTCAGCATCTGGCGCCAGGTGTGTGGGTCCAGGCTTAGTGGGGGTGGCTCACCTCTCTAGTTTGCCTTCAGTTTCCCGGGGGCTTGTCTATCTGCCCTGAAATCCCCTGATAGTGGGTCTGCATTCCTCTGCACCACTCTTTCCTGCCGTGTGAGCTGTGGCTTGGCTGGTGGGAACTTATTCCGTCCTAGACCTTGGAGTCTTTCTGTGGTGTACTGTAGCATAAGCACTGGGTCACACGGCCATCCCCAGCCTCTCCTCAGAAACCCTCCACAGAGTCGCTACTAGTAACAACCTACAAGACCTTTCCGAGGAGCCCTGGTAAGGCAGTGCTTAAAGTGCTCAGTAAAGAACCTAAAGACCACTGGTTCAAACCCACTCTGTGCTCATCAGGAGAAGAGGTGGCAGTCGGCTTTGGTAAAGGGTCAGCCTTAGAAACCCTGGGTCACGTGGGGTTGTTGGGCGTCGGAGTGGGGTCTCGGCTAGGGATCGTCCTGCTGACTGGACACAGCAGTTACGTGCCTGGCTATCAGACACGTTTGAACTCACTAGCTGCTCTGTGGGAGAGCAAGGTGACAACATGTTCCCATACAGATTTACAGTACGAGATACCCTAAAGCCCACTCCTGCCCTGGAGGGTCACTAGGAGTCAGAATTCATGGCAGCGAGTTTGTTTTGTTTTGTTTTTCATATGCTATACAGAGTAAGTCTGTGGATCTGCAATATGCTAATGGAACTTTTGATGAGAATATCATAGAATTTACAGATTTAATCTGCAGGACCGTGACATCTTTGAAATTTTGTCATGCTATTCAAGATCATGAAATGTCCTTTATTTTCGACATTTCCTGTATTGTAAGCTTGATTAATTTTGGTGAAATAATTCCTATATCCTGTGTAGTTTTTTTCTGCTTTTGTGTATATCACTCGCTTCTCTTTTATGTGGCTGGTTGTTAGGGCTCATGTAGAGAAGTGCTCCTGCTTTACAGGCAGGTGATTATGTGATTTACCACAAGAGCACCTGTAGCCCCGTACACCTGTATACCTGTACGCCTGTAGCCCCCATACACCTGTACACCCCTATGCCTGTAGCCCCGTACACCCGTACGCCTGTAACCCCGTACACCTGTACGCCTGTAGCCCCCATACGCCTGTACACTCGTACGCCTGTAGCCCCGTACACCTGTACGCCTGTAGCCCTGTATACCTGTACACCCATACACCTGTAGCCCCGTACACCTGTAGCCCCCATACACCTGTAGCCCTGTACACCTGTACACCCGTACACCCATACGTCTGTAGCCCCCATACACCTGTACACCCCTACGCCTGTAGCCCCGTACACCCGTACGCCTGTAACCCCGTACATCTGTAGCCCCGTACACCTGTACGCCTGTAGCCCCCATACGCCTGTACACTCGTACGCCTATAGCCCCGTACACCTGTACGCCTGTAGCCCTGTATACCTGTACACCCATACACCTGTAGCCCCGTACACCTCTGGCATCTTGTGTTTTCCCTGCAGCACCATGAGCAGTATCAGAGCCTGGTCCGGTCTTGCTGCCTACATTTAATGAGGTTGATTTCTTTCGTCCTCTGAAGTTTCCTGAGGTCTGCGTGTTGCCTTTCTCCTCTACGTTAGGGAAGTTTCTTTTGCTGAGGTCTTTATTTCGGTCATTCACAGGTGTATAGTCATTCACAGGTGTATAGTCATTCAGAAAAGATTTCTTGAGCACATGGTTGGTTCTAGATCTGTCAGCGTTCTCAGGGCCTACTAGGGAACAGACAGACACACAGCCCTGCCTCGAAGGACTTCTTTCTGTAACAGAGAGACACACTGGAATGTGGGATGCTTGTGAGGACTGGACACAGACAGGAGGGACGTGCGGCACTGATGGACTTTGTCCCCCTCTAGTGAGTACCTAGAAACGTATGTGTCGACGGCGTCAGTATGTGCCCAGACACGGTCCATACACCCTACTTAGTGGCGACCGAGCTCTGGAGAATGGACACTGAGCCACAGGTTCCCACCGGGCTTCGGGCTCATCTGCTGGAAGGACGACCACCGTGCGTTTTGTTGGAACTTGAGCAGCTTTTCCCAGTGCTTGCTCTCTGTCTGTAAAAGTCCTCCTTCTGTCTGCAGAGTGGTGACTATAAATGTGCAGGACGCACTGTGACCACCGGCTGTCCTTTGTCACTAGATGCACTCTCCCAGTGGGGAGTGGTCCTTCTGAGGTTCCAGTAGACTGGCCCACTGCATGTCCCTGTGAGGACAAACGAATGGACGAATGAATGGTGGTCAGCAGGCATGCTGAACAGGCAGCTGGAACACCTGGTCTCCGAGTGTGCATGGATGGACAGCGGGCATGCTGGTCTTTAGTGTGACCAGATAGACAAGCAGTGGGAATGCCTGGTGTCTCTTGAATGTGAACAGTCAGACATAGTGAGCTTTCCTGGTCTCTTTGCGTGCAGACAGATGTACAGAAAACAGGTACACTTGGTCTTTGAATGTAGACAGTGGACACTCCTGGTCTCTGAGTGTGGACAGACGGACAAACACTGGGCACGCCTGGTCACCTAGTGTGGATGGACAGATAATTAGTAGGCACTCCTGGTCTCTGAGAGCAGGCCCCTTTCAGGATTTCTGCTTCCCCAAACGTAACAAGCTAGCCTTAAGAGAGTTAGTGTTTTAAGGAATCCTTTGGTGTCTGAACACTTGCTTGAATGTGCTCTAGAAGACTCTTTTATTAAAGTTTTGTGTCACTTTGTCAGATAAACGGTGGCTGTTGACTTTTGGGGTGCTCGGGGCATCTTGGGTGACATCCATCTTTCTGTCCACAGACGTACCCATGGCTGCTGACGAAGACTCAGCAGAGAAGCAGGGGACAGAAGCCCCCACAGCTGCAGACAGTGAAACCAACGGGTCCTGTGAAAGCAGTGAGGCCAGCAGCCATCCCAACGCAGCAAAGCGCACTCAGGAGAATGCGAAAGCCAGTCCCCAGGAAGGCACCAATAGACTGGCCCGCGTCGCGGAGAATGGCATTGCGGAGCGTGAAGTGGAGGCTGCCAAGCAGCACCACGTGAGACCTGACGAGCTCACCCAGACCGCTGTGGTTGGGAGCAATGGCTTCTTCCTTGCCAAGCCGGCCCTGCAGGGGCAGCCCCTGAGGACTAGCGGCCCCACGGCACCCCCGCTCCCTGGCCATGCCGCCAAGACCCTGCCAGGAGGCGCTGGCAGAGGAAGGACTCCAGGCACTTTTTCTCAGGTGCCCACCCCAGTGCCCACCCGACTCGGCGAGGGCAGCCGGGACACAGAAGACAAGACGCCAGCAGCCCCAGGACCTGACGTCAAGGTTCATCGCGCCCGCAAGACCATGCCGAAGTCCATCCTTGGCATGGTAAGGCACCGCTGGTGTGGTCTGGGCCTCCTTCCCCAGAGAGGGTTCTGTGCGCAGGGCTAGATATCCAGGACATGGGCCCACTCTGGGCCTTTCCTGGAGACCCTCTTCCTCTGCTTTGACCCTGCCTCTGTGGGCACAGCAGTGAAGGAGGCTGGCAGTGCATGCTGAGCGCACGGGCAGCCCTGTCCATCACTGCTCCGTCGGTGAAATTCCCATGTGCTTTGTGTGTCTGATGCGCTTCACCTCCACCCTGCCACTGTCCTTTCCTCTGGGCTGTCCCCCATATCCCTCTCCGTGGGCTACCTGTGGACTCATGGGCCACGATGATGTCCCCCTCCCTCTGGACATATGGACCTTGGTGAGAAACACAGCCACCTCCCACCCCCATGGATGCGTGGGCCACGGTGATGACCCTACCCTGTAGACTCATGGGGTGTAATAAGACTCTTCACTGGACCCCAGTTGGCCCCTCAGTCTGAACCCTCGTGTCTCTACATTTCCTTAACGGTGTCTTCATGGCTGTGGGTGTATATTGGTTTCTGTCTCCTTGGGTATTTATTTGGGAAATAATTGCTCTTTTCATATCTGAGGTCTCTGAATAGTTCTTCAACTTAAAACAAACTAAAAAACCACTGTGTTCTAATTCAGACTTTTCTTCCAGAAGCAGTAAGTGGTAATTCTTTTTCCTCAAGTACAAATTCTGTTTGGACTTGGTACCTCTGGTCCATGCTGCTGCTCCTTCCAAGATACTGTTTCCCTCTTACGATCTTCACTGAAAGGGATGCTCGTCCTTGTCCACAGCCCTCACTGTGGCCCTCCATCCCCACCAGCCCCTGACCCAGCTTCCACCTTGGATTCCGTGCCGTTTCTGTCCCCAAGCGTTCCTCCTTAGTCTAGGCCCACTGAGCCGTTCCTTGTTTATGAGCTAGTGGGAGATTTCAGCAGTTTCCTTTAAAGTTTCTGTGGTTGAAAGAGACCCTGAAACAGCAGGTTAGCCTCATAGTGTCTCCCCCCACCTCCCTGAACCACTCCCAGAAAATACTGCCTTGGAAGTGATGCAGAGTCCCTTCCCTTGCTCTGTTCCCTCCATGATGGGTTGGGCAATTGAGCTTATAGGGCCCTTCCTCCGCAGGTTGACATCTCTTCCTGGAGGAGGGTTCGTCAGGGAACCCTTCCTCAACACCAGGGGGAAGGCAGCTGTCCCCCGACCTAGTAAGAGGACACTGTAAAACAGTCCTATGAAAAGAGAAGGGAACTTTTCCACGCTTCGAGGCCCCCTGTGTTGTATGTAGTTTGGAACCCCCTTCGGTTGTGTGTAGCTTGAGGCCCCCCTCATGTTGTATACAGTGCTGAGATGCAGCAGTCGTGACAGATGCCGCACATCTGTCCAGGCCAGGTGCCCATGCTGCTGTGTGCTGGCTCGTGGACTGAGCTGCCAGCCGAGGAGTGCGCACCTCCACCCTGCTCTGGGACATGTCACCTGGCCATGTGGTGGCCACCCCCTAGCCCTACTGAGTGACACTCTGCCCCCCTTGGTCCTAGCTTCCCTGCAAATCCCACGCACTATCTGATGACTGAGCTGGGTGTCTTCCCTGGCTGGGGCTCCAGCAGATGGACACCTAAGGAAATCGTGGTTATGTGGGATTGTGGTGGCTCTGTGATTAAAGCGCTTGGTTGCAAATGCGGTTCCCCCGTTTCACGGGAGAAAGGTGGGGCACTGAGCTTTGTGGGGTGACAGCCCATGAAGTAGTTGGGTTCTGGTCCACAGGGCACTGTCAGTTGGGACGGATATGATAGTTTAGAAGTGGGTCTGAGAGGAAATCTGTCTAAGAGTGCAGCACTCTCTAGGCAGGATGGCACAGGAGGGGTGAGGTGGTGCCTGGCTGATGGGCCGGGGTTGTCTTACATGTCTCCGTATGATCAGCGGTTGGCACACGTAACTCTCTGAAAGCTGACTCCGAGAGCCCATAGGACGGAGTGGGACTGCTTCTTAGGGTTTCTGAGACAGTAAATGTTTACAGAAGCAGGCAGCCTCATCTTTCTCATAAGGAGCAGCTAGTGGTTTCGAACCTCTGACTTTGCGGTTTGAAGCCCAGTGCTTACTTGCTACTATGGTGCCGTGGATACCCTCTGGGGACGTGGCAGATTGTGGCCACAGAAGGCTATTTGGTGGTACTTGGTCTGGGCACGTTTTAGTGGAATTCTGTGAAGGGCCAGGTGAACAGTAATGTAGGCTTCACTGTCACACAGGTCTCTGTCCCTGTGTCCTCCTTACCTTCCTCGTCTTTGTTCTCCGGTCCCTCCATACTGGCTCCTTCAGTCCTCACTTTGCAGGGATTGGCGTCTCAGTGAGGGGCTTTCTGGGGAGAGGGGCTGGGGTTCTGGGAGACCTCTTGTGTGGTAGTATGGTTCTAACTGTCTGTGTTTTGAAGCACGTGGCCAGCAAGGAGCCCCGAGATATTCGAGAAGCCAGAGACCACAAGGAGTTGAAGGAGGAGATGAACAGGAACGTGGCTGAGTTTGGAAGGCAGCAGCTCTTACCCCCGTACCCGCCCCTGCATCAGTCGCTACCTCAGAACCAGTGCTATGTGGCCACTGCAAAATCCCAGACAGGTAGGCCTCAGCGGCTGCACCAAGTTTCTGTGCTGTTCCTACACAAGGCCCAGGCCCAGCAGACAGCTGAGCGCACCTGGGTTCACCTGTGAACTGTTTGAGGAGCCTTTCGATGTCTCTGCAGATGAAGGTGTAGTACACTCCTAATCCTCTATAGCCCTTGTGTATGACTGAGCTGGTGCAGACCCTTAACCACTTATTAGGGGCCTTGGGGGGGGAGGTGGTGGCTGCATGGCAAACACCAGGTGGTGGCTCACCCGGGCCTCTCCAGATGCTCCCCCTTCCTCCCTTGCTTTAAAACTTTTTATTGTGAATCGACTGAAGGTTTACAGAGCAGATCATCAGTATTGCATTCAAGAAAATCCACTTTGCTTCCTTACAATTGCCGTTCTGTCCTTGTGCCGACACTCACAGCGTTTGCCCTGTTCACTTTAACTCTTACATTCTTCCTTGTGTCTCCTGCTTCCTTCATCTTTCCTCTGCCAACTTCCCTCTTGTATGTATATTGGCTTCCCTGACACCCATGTTAACTTATGTCTACCCTCGATTTTCCCTTCCCTCCCAGCCCTGGTAACCATCGTAGGAAGAAAAGATTTTCTTTTTACAACAGTGACCTCATACAACATTTGACCTTGTGTAATTGACTCATCTCACTCAGCATAATGTCCTCCCAGGTTCCTCCCTGTTGTGAGGGGTTTAGTACATTCACCTTTATTCTCTAACATGTGTATGTGTGTGTGTTTAGTCAGCCTTCTGTTGATGGGCATTTCGGCTGTCTCCATCTTTTTGTTATTGTAAATAGTGCTGTAGTGAACATGGGCGCACATAGATCTAATCTTATTTCTTGAGGATAGATACCAAGTAGAGGGAATGCTGGATCACATGGTATTTCTATTTCCAACTTTTTGAGAAAGCGCCATACCATTTTTCACAGTGGTTGTGCCATTGTAGAATCCCAGCAGCATTTGTTGTTTTTTGAACTTCGCTGTTAATGCTGGATGGAGTAAGAGGCTATCTTCTTGCTGTCTTAATTTGTGTCTCTAGAATGGCTGACGATCACGGGTTGACCACATGAATGTCTTCTTTGGTGAAGTGTCTGTTCATGTCCTCTGACTGTTTTTAAATTGAGTTGTTTGTCTTCTTATTGAGGTATTGAAATAGTCTATACATTTTAAAGTAGTCCTTTGTCTGCTGTGGCATTTTCAAGCATTGTTTTCTTTTTCAGTGGCTTCTCTCTTTACTTTTGTGGTGAAATCCTTTGATGCACATAGTGCCGAATTTTTAGGAGGGCCCAGTCATCTCTTTTGTCCTCTGCGTGTGTGTTGTCAGTTAGTCTGTCAGTCAGGCTGTCAGTCAGGCTGTCAGTCAGGTTGTCAGTCAGGCTGTCAGTCATGTTGCATAGAGTACTTATGTATCAGAACTCCTAAGTTTGTCTCTGTTTTTTCACTGATGATCTTTATAGTTTTAGGCTTTATATGTACCTCACAGCATATACAAAAATGAACTCAATCCACATTGAGTTCATTTTTGTGTATGGTGTGAGGTATGGGCCTTGTTTCATTTTTCTACAAATGGATCTCCAAATTTGCCAGCGCTATTTGTTGAAGAGACTCTTTCTTAACCCATTTAATGAGTTTTGGCCATTTGTTGAAAATCAATTGACTATAGGTAAATGGATTTACTTCTGGGTTCTCAGTTCTGTTCCATTGGTCTGTGTGTCTTTCATTGTACCAGTACCAGGTGGTTTTGACCACTGTGGTTGTACGTAGGTTTTTAGATCGGGAAATGAGAGCTCTTCTAGTTTGTCTTTTTTAATAATGCTTTGTTTATCTGGGGCCTTTTTCCTTTTCTTATAAAATTGTTGTTGTTAAGTGCCATTGAGTCGGTACCAACTCATAGCGACCCTGTGCACAACAGAACAAAACACTGCCCGGTCCTGGGTCAACCTCACTCCTGTTGCCACGCTTGAGCCCATTGATGTTACCACTTTGCTAATCCGTCTCGCTGGAGGTCTTCCTCTTTTTCTCTGACCCTCCACCTTACCAAGCATGATATCCTTCTCCAGTGACTTGTCCATCCTGATAATATGTCTTAAGTATGAGAGATGAAGTTTGGCCATCTTGGCCTCTGAGGAGCACTCTGGCTGCACTTCTTCCAAAACAGGACTGTTTGTTCTTTTGGCAGCCCATGGTACTTTCAGTGTTCTCCTCCAACACCACAACTCAAATGAATCAATTCTTCTTCAGTCTTCCTTATTCACGGTCCAGTTTTCGCATACATTGTGAGGTTATTGAAAATATGGCTTGGGTCAGGCACACTTTAGTTCTCAAGCTGGCATCTTTGCTCTTCAACACTCTATATAAAAAATGATGTTGGAATCTGGATTGGGGTTTCATTCTATGTATAGATTTGCTTGATAGTGTTGATGTTTTCACAATGTTAAGTCTTCCTGTGTACAAGCATTCCTCCATTTCTGCGGCTCTCTTGACTTACTGTTCTGTAGCTGTCTTTGCAGTCCTGGTGTGGTGCTGTTCACATTCGAACTGCAAGGTCAGTGGTTCAAACTCACCAGCTGCTCCTTGGAAACCCTATACAGGGTTGCTGTGGGTCGGAATCAACTCGGGGGCACTCAACAACAACAAAAGATTTCTTTGCTTAGATCTTTTGTTTCCCTGGTTAGATTTATTTCCAAGTATTTCAGCTGCTCCTCAGAAATCCTATGCAGGGTCTCTATGAGTAGGAACCAACTTGAAGGCATTTAAAAACAATTTCATGGTTTGAGTTGTTACTGTAAATAGTCTCTTTTTCACAGAAGTCTTTGTTGGTTTAACGGAATCCAGCTGACTTTTGTCGGTTGATCTTTTATCTGCTACTTTTCCAATCATTTTCTTGCTGAGTCTTTGGGATTGTCTTTGTATGTTGTTGTTAAATGCCGTCGAGTCGGTTCTGACCCATAGCGACCCTGTACAGGGTTTCTGAGGCTGTAAATCTTTACAGGAGCAGAAAGCCTCATCTTTTCTCCCACGGAGTGGCTAGTAGTTTCGAACTGCTGACCTTAAGGTTCACAGCCCGATACGTGACCACTGTGCTACCAGAGCTCCTTTTCTTTGCTGTTGTTGTTATGTGCCATGGAGTCGGTTCCGACTCATAGCGCCCCGGTACAGGGTTTCCGAGGCTGTAAATCTTTCCGGCAGCAGAAAGCCTCATCTGTCTCCTGTGGAACAGCTGGTAGTTTCAAATTGCTGATCGTGAGGTTCACAGCTTGATTCGTAACCACTACACTACCAGAGCTCGGATCATATTATCTGAAAATAGATTTTACTTTTTTTTTACCAATTTGTTGTTGTTGTAAAGTGCTGTTGAGTCGATTCCGACCCCTAGCAACTCTATATAGGGTTTCCGAGGAACAACTGGTGAGCTTGAATTCCTGATTTTGTGTTTAGACCAACTTTGCAGTCAGGGTTATTATCCCACAGTGCCACACCAGGACTCCAATTTAGATGTCTTTAATGCCCTTTTCTTGTCTTACAGCTCGGGTTAAGACTTCCAACACAATATTGAATAGGAGTGGAGATTAAGGGCACCCATTCTTGTCTGGTTCCTGTTCGCAGGAGGTTCAGTTTCTCAACCACTGAGAGTGATGTGGGCTGTTGGTTTTTGTATGCATGTCCTTAATTATATTGAGGAATCTCCCTTAATTTCCTGTTTTGTTGAGAGGTTTTATCAGGAATGAGTGTTGGATTTTGTCAGATGCCTTTTCTGTATCAACTGATAGCATTTTGTGACCTTTTTCTTCTTTATGTAGTGGATATATTTACTGTTTTTCTAATATTAAACCGTACCTTCATGCCTAGTATGAATCCCACTTGATCATGATGTATTATTTTTTTGATATATTGTTGGATTCTATTTGCTAGGATTTTGTTGAGAAGTTTTCCACCTATATTCATGAGGGACAAGTACTGTCAAACCGGCTCCGGCTCATAGCAACCCTGTATAGGTCTGTTCATGTTTTTTAGTTTAGTCTCTGTTAGTTTAAGAAGGTTGTATGTTTCTAGATTTTCAAATTTTACCATTTTTTATATTATTCTATCACTGTTCTTTCTGTTTCGTTGGTTCTGTGGTGATGGCACCCATATAATTTCTTATTGCTGTCATTTGTATCTTCTTCATTTCTTTTCTTAGACTTGCCAATGGTTTGTCAATTTTATTGATCCTTTCAAAGAACCAGCTCTTTGTCTTTTGGATTCTTTATAGTGTTTTTTTGTTATGTTTTTTTCATGTTTTGTGTGTGTTCTAACATGTTTTATTTTTTTCTGCTGCCTGTAGACTTTACTACTCTTGTTCTGAGTGTTGAGTTAAGATGTTGATTTTAGTTCTTTAGGGATGTATGTGCTATAACCGTGCCCTCTAAGCACAGCTTTTGCTTTGCCTCAGAGGTTTGGTATGTTGTTTTTTCATTCTTGTTTGATCCCAAAGAATTTCTGGATTTCATTTTGATTTGTTCGATTACACATTCGCTTTTAAGCAAGGGTGTTAGTCAGTTTCCACGTATTGGATAATTTCCCTATTGTTGATTTCAAATTTCATTGTGTTGTGATCTAGAAGCTGCTTAGTCGTATTTTGAGGTGTTTTATGGCCTGACCCGTGTTCTGTTCTTGAAGATGGTCTTTATGCACTGCAGCAGATGGTGTACCGAGCTGGCATCGACTGGGGTGCTCTGTATGAATCTTTCAGGTCACGCTGCTTGACTGCGTTGTTTGCTTCTTCTGTGTCTGTTGGGTTTCTTTTAGTCGTTCTGTCCTTCATTGAAAGTGCTATATTACATCTCTTACAGATGTTGTTGTTAAGTGCCGTTGTGTTGGTTCTGACCCATAGCAACCCTTGATAGGGTTTCCAAGGAGCAGCTGGTGAAGTTGAATTGCTGACCTTGCGGTCCAGCACAGTAGCCCAAAGTGCCACACCAGAAGTTGTTTCTTTCTTTCTTCAGTTCTTTAGAGTTGGACATATTTTTTCCATCCTTTGATTTTTTTTTAGTCTGAATCTCTCTCTTTTTGTGTAAGATGTTTCTCTGGTAGACAGCATATTGAGAGACTCTGTTTACCCATTCATTTACTGCCTGTCTCTTCACTCTGGGGCATGGAATCATTAGTCCCGCGTAAGTATGAATTGATTGCTGCCACTTAGCTGTGTGTTTGTGGTGCTTCGGATTGGTTTGGTTTTGTCCACATAATCTCCTGTGCTGAGTTCATTTTGTGTGTGCGTTTTCATTTCATTTTCGTGTCTGTTGTGTTAATGTATACTAAATCTTTCTGATTTTCTTCTTTGTTCGATGTTAAGGTATATTAATTCTCTTTGAGGTTACCCTGTAATTTATTAGTTTTTTTTTCCCCTGCTTAAAATAGTGTGTTTTATCTTGAAATGTCTTTGGCCTCCTCGTCATTTGGAAGACCTGTACTCTCTCTTTTTGCTTTGTAGTCTACTTCAGGATGTATTGCTATCTCTGGTTCCATCATTTCAGTCTTGGGTATCTGCTGGACTCTGCTGATCTGGTGGCTCTGTGAATACTGTAGGTCTAGAGCTGAGCCCACCTGAATCCAGTTACCAAAGTGTAACTTTGTGGTTCACTCTGATGTGGCTCCCAACCACGGGGCTC